CAAACAACAGGCATTCTTCCTGGACTGTATCAAGTGCTTTTGGTCAGTCAGCCAGATGGCATCATTGGCACCCGCCACACGAATGGTGACCCAACGAGAACAGAAAGAACTGGGATCATGCCTCTTCTCTGTAACATGTGTCCTCTCGGCACATCATGCAGGTGACCCATGGCAATCAGAATGACCCTTGTTCAGCCCACAGCCTTCTTCTGCCCCGCACATATTATTCAGTGTGTACCTACCAAGCACAGTGCCAAGCCTGTGCTAGGCACTGATGATACAGAGGTGACTGAGACACAGGTCCTGCCCTGGAGGAACTCATAGTCCAGTGAGGAATATAAATCTGGCAATCAACAAATTACAAGTCCCTGGAGCCAATGCAGCCAGGTGCAGGAGAGGCAAAGACAATAATTGACTATGTGAAGAGGAAGCTTCCAGAGGTGATGCTTGAAGGCCGTTTAAGATGACCACATTTTTTTCCAAATAGATAAAGGGGTTGAGAGAATGAACCAGGAGGCAATTTATCAAAATCTAAAATGCACAAACCATAAGCTATTGATTGCAGTCTTGTTTAGAACACAAGAAATTGAAAACAAACTAAATGAGCATTAATAGGAATCTAGTTAAATAGATTATGCTGCATCTGAACAATAAGATACTGTGCTTTAAAAAAAAAGGGGGGGGGGATGGTGAAGATGTTCCCTGTATGCTGATGGGAAAAGACTTCCAAGTTATAGTTGCATTAAGTGTTAGTACTAGAAAAAAATCAAGTTGCAGAACAATGTATTTAGGAGCTGTCTCCTGTGTATGAAAGAAATGGAAATGCACATTCACCTGTGATTGTGTAAGCACTTGAAAAAGAAAAACCCTTTAAAGGGTCCACAAGAAAGGCACTACAGGGGCACCTGTTGAGAGGTGGTCATTAGGGGCATGGTGAATGGATTCCCTTCCTCTTTAAGCTTTTTAGGCTTTATAAATCATGTTATTTTTTTTAAATCTATTGTAAAGTTAGATAAAGCCAAAGTTAAAAATAAAAGGCACTGACCTCTTGACTCAACAATGCCAATTCTAGGAATAGATTCATGTACTGAAATGGAAAAATCCCTAAGACATTGTTAAGTGAAAAAAAAAAAAGCAAGTTGTAGAAAAATGCATGCAGGTAAACAGAATTTACATAACAATACGAATGTAAATATACAGGGCATCCTCTGGGGAAGGGAGTGACAGGAGAAGGGAGACTTTAGCGGGACTTTCACGTTTCCTTGGCTCGTCTGTACTTAAATTATGAGAAGCAATTATTTGTGTATTTCTCATAGAGAAAAAATAAAGATTCCTGTGAATTCATTTGCTAGGGCTTTCATAAAATATACCACAGACTGTGGCTTATACATCAGAAACTTCTTTCTTCATAGTTCTAGAGGCTAGAAGTTCAAGATCAACATCAGCAAGGCTGGTTTCTTCTAGGCTCTGCTCAGCTTGCAGATGTCCACCTGCTTAAAGTGTCCTCACATGGCGTTTCCACCAGTCTTGCTGGATTAGGGTCCTACCCTTATGACTTCAATTTACCTTAATTACTTCCATCTTCAAATACAGTCACCTTCTGGGTACTGGGGATTAGGGCTTCAATATATGAATTTTAGGGGTACATAATTTAGTCCATAACACCCCCCTAAAAAAAAAAAAACAAAGAGGATCTTAAACAGTAAGAACAGCATGTGCCAAGGTAGGGAGGTGAAAAGTGTGGTATGCTCAGCACTACAAGGGTTAGACTGAGCAAGGACAAAAGACAGGAGATGAGAGGAAGAGGTGAACCTGGCCATGACGTCCCAGCTGTCTGCCCCTCCACCCCCAGGAAAATGCAGCATTTTGTGAATGGACACACAACATAGATTTTTTAAAAAGCATTTTACATATTTGCTCACCTTATGTGGATAATGAACTGTTGCTCACTAGTCCTCCATTCCCTCTGGGCCTCAGTTTCCCCACGTGTAAGAGAAAACTAGGAGGTGCCTGAAAACACCATTGCTCTCTACCACTCCTCCTTGGCAGTCTGCCCCATCCTAACAAGCACAACACGCTTTGGTCCAAATGATGATGGCATGGAGAGCCGTGTGGTTGGCTGTGAGGGATGCACTCTAGCTTGGGGCAGGAGCAAGCAAGCCCACGGCTTATGATGTCATGTTATCCCATCACAGAGAGGTGCCCTGAGGCAGAGGAAGCACGTAACAGTTCCATACCTCCCCTCTGCATTCGGGACTCCTTGGTCAGTTGAGGACACACATCCCCACCTGACTCATTGAACCACAGGAAGTACCACTTTGATGAAGTAAATACCTATAATCTCTTCTCGAGAACACTAATTTACTCAGCATGCAGATCTTTAGCCCCTGCTGTCCAAATCCACATCTGCCCTGTGCCTGCCGGCTGCGGATAAAAGAGACTTCTCCAACTGAGAGCCCTGCAGGCTCTCCTCTCTGCCTCCTCAGGAGCCACCACTGCACGTTGCCCCTGCCTGCCTGCGTCTTTACCCCCTCTCTCTACTTAATCCTTCCTGTCAGTATTGAAATAAGTCTCTTGATCTTTAAAACAAAAAAAAAGTAACTATAAAAAAATCCTCCCTCAGTCTCACTTTCCAATTAACAACCTCTTTCTCCACTGCTCCTTACTGCCAACTTTCTAAGAGTTATTTACGCTTCTCGCACCTCTTCCACTAGTGAACCCCCATTGATTTTCTACCCCAACCCACCCACACTTGACTTGGTTGAGAACCACTCACTCCTTGTATCTCAGCTCAAACATCAGCCAACAGGCAGCTTTCCCTGACCCCAGAATTCCCACAGTTCCTGGCACAACTCCAGGTGAAGGACTCGTGGTAAGCTGGTGACAAATACACCATTGGTCAGACTGTGAGTTCTCCCAGAGCATGGATCGTTGTGCCCAGGGCCTCTCCACCACCAGCCAGGAGCATAGTAAGTGCTTGCTCCATCTTTGTTAAATGGCAAAAGGTTGACTCCTAGGCCTGGAGAAAAAAATAATGTTTGTTAAGGTAAGGGCTTACTAAATGTCTGGCACTGTTAAATGCCATGTGTGTGTTAACTCCTTTAATTCTCACAGCCTATCAGGTAGGTATTATTGTCCTCATTTACAAGGGAGGAAACTGATGCCCAGGGAAGCTAAGTCACCTGCCATGTTTACATGGCTAGTAAGGAGCAGAGCCAGAGTTTAAGTCCTGGCAGGCTCCAGAACCCATGCTCTTCTCATCACACAACACCCCCCCTCAGGGTGGATGTCCCTGTTATACCTCTCTCATACAGTGAGACCAGGTTGGAGCCCTGCCCTCACAAAACTTCCGATTTTAAAGACCCATAAAGGATGTTCCCAAGTAGACCCAGCCTGGGCCCATCAAGAAAAGCAAACAAAGTGGTCAAGCTGTGGGCTATGACCTTATACTCTTGTGGCACATCCCAGCAGCCTCTCTTGAGCCCTTGCTGGGTTCACAGCCCCTTGGAATATAGCCACTACCTATAGAAAGAGGAACTCACCTCTCAGGGAGCATAGCTTACTGCTGCCCACAAGGCCACATGAGGGATGCCGTGTTCTCTCCAACATATGATTGAGTAAATCAAGACTCATGCCTAAAGTCACTGCCAGTAAGGTGGATTGAGCCCAGGTCTGTCTGACACCAAATCCCATGCCGTTTTCCTGGCCTCAATCTGTCCTCCCAGGACAAAGGTCTGAGGAACCTGTCTACAGAAAAACACACCTGCTCCCTCCAGGGACCCACTCAGCACTCTGGTACTGACACCAGGTCAGAAGGAACAGATCCAGGGTTTAAACCTAACCCACCACCCAGAAGAGAACATGGCCTGATAACCTCCTAGAAATACAGTTGGGTTTTGTTCCGCTTGAGTTACACATGCTGGATCTTTTAACATCCTCCTTGGCATCGCTCTGACCAATAAAAAATATACTTTTCTTCTCTGTCCTTTATATGACTGTTTTTCTTTATTTTAATAACTTTAGGGGGTACAAATAGTTTTTGGTTACATGGTTGCATTATATTGTGATGAACAAGTCTGGGCTTTAAGGATACTCATCACCCCCATCTTTGCACATTATACCCAACAGGTGACTTTTAGTCCCTCCACCCTTTCACCCTTCTGAGTCTAAATGTCCATTATACCATTCTCTATGCCTCTGCAGATCCTTAGTTTAGCTCCCACTTACAAGTGAGAGCATGCAGCGTTTAATTTCCTGTTTCTGTTTTAGTTCACCTAGGATGATGTTCTCCAATTTTATCCAAGTTGCTGCAAAAAACATGATTTTTGATGACTGAATAGTATTTCATGGTGTATATATACCACATTTTCATTATCTACTGATTGGTTGATTAGCATTTAGGTTGATTCCACATCTTTGTAATTGTGAACTGTGCTGTGTATTATTTTTATACAATAAACTCTGTTCCTTTGGGTAGATACAAAGTAGTGGAATTGCTGGATCAAATAATAGATCTACATTCAGTTCTTTGAGAAATCTCCATACCGATTTCCATAGAGGTTGTACTAATTTACATTCCCACCAACAGTGCATAAGCATTCCCTTTTTACCACATCTGCATCAGCATCTATTTTTTTTTTTTTTAATAATGGCCATCCTGACTGGTGTAAGGTGGTATCTCAATGTGGTTTTAATTTGTATTTCCTTGACAATTAGTGGTGTTGATCATTTTTTCATATGTTTGTTGGCCATTTGTATATCTTCTTTTGAGAGATGTCTATTCATGTCATTTGCCCACTTTTTTTGTTGTTGTTATTTAGTTTTTATTTCTCTGCAATCCAACTAGATGTGGAAGGGAATAAGGAAAATATGGGACCCAAAGAATTGTAGCGAGAGCACAAAGATTATAGGGATACTGTGAGCAAATGGGATGGAGGGGGTGCTCTCCTGAGCTACAGAAGGAATGATCTGGTAGTTTAAGATAAAACGAGTCAAATTTATTAGAGTTGTTCACAGTCAGCAATGGTGATCTTCTTGCTGTTCTTGCCATTCTTGGACCCAAAGCCCTCCATGGCTTGCACAACATTCATGCCCTCTTTCACCTTGCCAAAAACCACATGCTTGCCATCCAACCATTCAGTCTTAGTAGTGCAGATGAAAAACTGGGAACCATTTGTGTTGGGTCCAGCATTTGCCATGGACAAGATGCCGGCACCTGTATGCTTCAAGATGAAGTTCTCATCATCCAATCTCCCCATAGATGGACTTGCCGCCAGTGCCATTATGGTGTGTAAAGTCACCACCCTGGCACATAAACCCTGGAATAATTCTATGAAAGTAGGAATCCTTATAACCGAATCCTTTCTCTCCAGTGCTCAGAGCACGAAAGTTTTCTGCTGTCTTTGGAACTTTGTCTGCAAACAGCTCGAAGAAGACGTGGCCCAAGGACTCGCCGTCGAAGGCGTTGTCGAAGAACACGGTGGGATTGACCATGGCTGATGGGAAAGGGCTCAAGGCGGCGGCATCTGCAAAGCCTGCCCACTTTTTAATGGGGTTATTTGCTGTATTTTCTTGCTGATTTGTTTGAGGTCTTTTTAGATCCTGAATATTAGTCCTTTGTCAGATGTATAGTTTGCAAATATCTTCTCCCATTTTTTAGGTGCCTGCTTGCTCTGTTGATTTCTTTTGCTGTGCAGAACCTTTTTAGTTTGATTAAGTCTCACTTATTTAGTTTTGTTTTTGTAGCATTTGCTTTTAGGGTTTTATCCACTAAAGTCTTTGTCTAAGCTGATGTCCGTGAGAGTTTTTTCTAGATTTTCTTCTAGGATTTTTATGGTTTCAGGTCTGACATTTAAGACTTTAATCCATCTTGAGTTAATTTTTGTATATGTGAATCAAATTTCACTTTTCTGCATATAGCTATTCAATTTCCACAGCACCATTTGTTAAATAGGGTGTCCTTTCCCCAATGTATGCTTTTGTCTGCTTTCTCAAAGATCAGTTGGTTGTAGGTATTTAAGTTTATTTCTGGATTCTCTGTTCTGTTCCATTGGTTCATGTGTTTGCTCTTGTACCAGTACTTTGCTGTTTTGGTTACTACAGCCTTGTAGTATAATTTGAAATCAGATAATGTGATGCCTCCAGCTTTGTTCTTTTTTCTTAGGATTATTTTGGCTACTCTGGCTCTTTTTGGTTTCATATGAATTTTAGGGTTGTTTTTTCTAATTCTGTGAAAAATGACATTGGTAGTTTGCTAGGGGTTGCGTTGAATCTGTAGATTACTTTAGATACTATGGTCATTTGAACAATGTTTATTCTTGCAGTACATGAGCATGGGATGTTTCTTCATTTGTGTCTTCTACAATTTCTTTCATCAGTGTTTTATAGTTCTTCTTGTAGAGATCTTTCACCTCCTGAGTTAAATATATCCCTAAGTATTTTAACTTTTAAATGGAATTAAGTTCTTGATTTGATTCTCAGCTTGGTCACTATAATTGTATAGCAGCACTATTGATTTGTGTGTGTTGATTTTGTATCCTGAAACTTTACCAAATTCATTTATCAAGTCCAGGAGTCATTTGGAGGAGTCTTTAGGATTCTCCAGGGATAAAATCATATCGTCAGCATACAGAGAAAATTTGATTTCTTCTTTTTCACTTTGGATACCCTTTATTTCTTTCTCTTGTCTCATTGCTCTGGCTAGGACTTCCAGCACTATGTTGAATAAGAATGGTGAAACTGGGCATCCTTGCCTTGTTTTAGTTCTAAGAAGGAATGCATTCAACTTTTCTCCATTTAGGATGACATTGGCTATGGGTTTGTCTTATTTGGCTTTTATTGTTTTGAGGAATGTTCCTTCTCTGCCTATTTTATTGAGGGTTTTTTATCATGAAGGGATTTTATCAAATGCTTTTTCTGCATCTATTGAAATGATCATATGATTTTTGCTTTTAAGTCTGTTTATGTAGTGAATTACATTTATCGACTTGCAATGTTGAACCTCCCTTGCATCCCCGGGATAAAACCTACTTGATTGTGGTGTATTTTTTTTTTTTCTAATCAGGGCATCCTGAAACTTTACCAAATTTAGTTTGCTAATATTTGTAGAGGATTTTTCACATCTATGTTCATAAGAGATATTGGTCTGTGGTTTTCTTTTTTTTGTTGTGTCTTTCCTGGCTTTGGTATCAGGGTAATACTGGCTTCATAGAATGAGTTATGGAAAATTCTCTCTTCTTTAATCTTTAGAATAATTTCAGTAAAATTGGTACGAGATCTTTGAAAGTCTGGTAGAATTTGACTATGAGTCCATCAGATCCTGGGTTTACTTTTGTTGGAAGAGTTTTAATTACTGTTTCAATCTTGCTCCTCTTTATTGGTCTGTTCGGGGTTTCTAATTCTTCCCGATTTAGGATTGGCAGGTTGTATTAATATGTTTCCAAGAATTTTTCCCTTTTCTGTAGATTGTCTAGTGTATTTGCATAGAGGTGTTCATAATAATCTCAGGTGATCTCTTGAATTTTTGTCACATCAGTTATAATGTCTCTATTTTCATTTCTGATTGAATCTTCTCTCTTTGTTTCTTAATTAACTAGCTAGTGGTCTGTCCATTTTTTAAAAATTTTTTTCAAAGAACCAACATTTTGTTTCATTGATCATTTGCATTTTTTAAATTTCACTTTTAGTTCTGCTTTGATTTTTGTTATTTCTTTTCTTCTGCTAGATTTTGATTTGGTTTATTCATATTCTTTCTAGTTCCTTGAGGTGTGACATTAGGTTGTCGGTATGTGATCTTTCAATCTTATTAATGTAGGCCTTAAGAACTGTACATTTTCCTTGAGCACCACTTTGTCTGTGTCCCTGAGGTTTTGATAACTTGTATCATTATTGTCATTCATTTAAAGGAATTTTTTAATTTCCATGTTACTTTCATTGTTGACCCAAGGATCGTTCATTTAAAATGTGAGCACTTAAAATGTGGCTAGTCCAAACTGAGATATGTTGTGAATATGAAATTCACACTGGAGCTTTATGACTTAATATGAAAACAGTTCGGTAAGCCATCTCCATATTATTGTATATGCTTACATGTTGAATTAATCCCATTTTTGATCTATTGGAATAAAGAAAAGATATCACTGAAGTTAATTTCATCCATTCCATTTTACTTTTTATAATGAGGCTTGTGTTAATTCATTTTGAATTGCTATAAAGAAATACCTAAGTGAGTAATTTATCAAGAAAAGAAGGTTTATTTGTCTTAGGCTTGTGCATGGCAATGGCATCTATTTGGGCTGGTAAGGCCCTAGGAAGCTTTTACTTATGATGGAAGCTACAGGGAGATGGACTGTCACATGGCCAACATGGGAGCAAGAGAGAGGAGAAGGTGCCAGGCTCTCTTTGGAGAAAAGGAAGAGTGAGAATTCATGCATTACTTTGCGGATGGCACCAAGCCATTCATGATCCAGTCACCTCTCACTAGGCCCCACCTCCAACACTGGAGATGATATTTCAACATGAGATTTGTAGGGGACAAATATCCAAATTATATCAGGGCTAGTAGGAAATTTAAACTTACCCATGTACTTCACCTTTGTGGCTCACAATGTATTTCTAGTGGGTATCACTTCTCTGAAAGATTGATAAATAACTTAATGCTCTGGTGGTTGTTGAGTCAGTTAGCAGAGCTGAAAAATTGAGTGGATAACACAATTAAGTGGCAGTGAAAAAAGAACTTTGGTAGGTGCAAGTGGAGAATGTTGGTGAAAATACTAGTGAACTGGCTGAGGCTTTGTAGCCATGAATCCTGAGGAGTCAGGTGGAGAGCTTGAAGAGTGACTACTGTACCGGATTTTAGCAGAGCAGACTCCACATCTTTGTGCGATCTATAGAAGGAAAACATCCACAAAGGCACCAGCATCCTGCTTAGAAATTTGTTCTCAGGGCTTGCAGACTGCATCTCCACTCCTCAGATTTTTACTTATTTTTTATTATAAAGGTGTGGGGTACAATTCAGGGTTAGGTATACAAACATTGTGCAGGTACCCTTGTTGATGAGGTGTGCCCCTCCCTCCCCTAGCAGTTTCTCTCAACTGCCAATCCCACCCCCTCTCCCCTGACAGATTGAGCTCCTGTTGTTCAGCTGTGGCCTTTGATGGTGTGTTGTTGTTTCCCTTGTTCCACAGGAGGATGCAGATGTGGAATGGAAATTCGCCCGAGCAAAACTCTGGCTGTCTTACTTTGATGAAGGAAGAACTCTACCTGCTCCTTTTAATCTAGTGCCAAGTCCTAAATCCTTTTATTATCTCATAATGAGAATCAAGATGTGCCTCATAAAACTCTGCAAATCCAAGGCCAAAAGCTGTGAAAATGACCTTGAAATGGGCATGTTGAATTCTAAATTCAGGGTAGGTAGCTTGTGGTTTGGGGGTTAAAGAAGACAGTGGGTGGGGTGGAGGGAGCTGAGTGTGGGCAGGTGCACTCGTAAATCACCCATCATGAAATGGACCAATTGAAAGAATCTCCAAAAAAAAAATTCACTGAAGCCTCTCACAACAACACTAGCTAGTACACTGATGCCAGTGGGTTCCCAGAACACTTAGCCCACCCTCCAAAAGTTCTCAGGAACCAGTGTTCGAGGAAACCAAGGAACAGAGGGTAAATCGACCTCTGGGTGATCCCCTATAGTGACGCTCCATAGGTGAATACAGTTTAATTCCTACCATATATGTGATTATGTATGTCCTGTGTGTATTTTTTTCTCAGAAGACTCGCTACCAGGCTGGCATGAGGAATTCTAAAAACCTTACAGCAAATAACACTTTCAGCAAACCTACCAGATACCAGGTAACCATCCCTTTCCCGGGCATTGGCAGAAGTAGAAGCCACTAATTAGTGGATTTAGTCCCATGGCTGTATCATTTCCCTAGAAAACAGCTTAATTCTTTCCTTTACTGAGCAAATATTTATTGAGTGCCTACTATATGCCAGGTACTGTGCTGCTTACTAGGGATATAGATAGGGTTCCTAGCTTAGTGGCACCTCCAGTCTACTGAGAGAAAGACAGTAAATCAGTGAACACACAGATAAATATGTGACTTCAAAATGATGACAGTGACAAGAAGAAAACACCAAGGTTCAAAACTGAGAAAAGTAGGGAGCTCCTGCTTAGATATGATTACCAGAGAGGGTAACTTCAAGGAGAGGACAGTCATCCAAGACTTCACAAATGAGTAGGAGGCCGTCGTGTGGGTCATCCAGGAAGAGGAAGAATGTTAGCAGAGGCCAGAGGGGAGCAGGTCGGCAGCATCAGAGCCACTGGGGGGAGAGTGGAGAGAGATGCAGTCAGAGGTCAGGCAGACCCAGACCACTGTCGGGATATGGATTTTATCCTCAATTCTCTAAAAAGATGGGCAGCGTGATTCTGTAAGGGAGAGGAGATGATACAATTGTATTCATGCTTTAAGAAGACTGCCTTACTGCTGTAATGAGAG